CCCCAAAACCCCAAAACCCCAAAACCCCTTTTAGGAAAATAGTGGTTGAAATCACCCAAAAGTTTGGTATTCTAATGAATGGATTACTGCAGTAATTGGTCTCTGAAATGAGTCAACTTGGTCTTATTGGACTTCTTGTCAACCTTAGTCTGTTGTTTCTTTTGTTTATGCAACTCTTTGTTGAGATTGAATTTTCTCATGCTATGATCTAAAAGAAAATGTAAAATATTGTATCAAAAACACTTACTTATGATATGTTGATGGTTGAAATGCGTCGAAACAGTACCCTCTTGTCCTAACTTCTTATATTCAATTCCTAGCCTCTTAATAATTGCAGCTTCCTTGATATCTCTGACTGGGATCCTTTGTTTGTATTCTCTTGCCCATTGTCTATGTCCAAGAATTCTTCCATCTGCTAATTGAACTTCACCTGTATCTAACACAGTGGCTGCTTTATACGTATCTGTCACTACTTGGTAATCAAATCTATTCTTCTTTCTCCTTTCCAACAATTTAGTCACCTCAGCCTCTGAGAGGTTGCTCTCTTGAGCAATAGACTTAGCCTCCTCCTGGATTACAGGATCACTAGTATGAGTCTTGGAGGGATCAATCATAGTATAGCTTGAACTAGAAGGAGCTGATACTTTTTGGAATGAGCCTGCTGAGCTATCAGCTTGGTCTACATGGGCTTGAGCTTCTTCAACTTCCTCACCATTGATGTCTTCCCAGTCGCCATCACCATCTTCCTCAACGATGTCCTCCATGGGGTTATCTACCTGCTCCATATCATTTGCTTCTTTAGCTTCTTCGTTCTTGACTTTGCTGAAAATCTTTTCAGAGAGAGGTTTTGCGAGTGGCTCTTCTGTGAGGTCAAAATCATCCAATCATTTGCCAACAAAGTTTTCATCGTAGGTTGGAGCAAAATCATAGAAATACTCGTATTCCTCCTCAAATAGCTCAGAGTTCATAGTGCAGTGCCTCATATCCTTCATATGATTCTGGCATGCTAATGAGCTCCTGAAGATTTTGTTGCAGTGGATGCAAGTAAACCCAACATGGATCTTCTCTGCAAGATAGTGTAACAGTGCCTTCAGACTGATTAAGCAATCAATGTCTAGGACGTAGAAGCTAAAGTTCACTCTCATGTAGTCCAGATTATCCTTGACACTCTTAGACACATTGTTTGAGAACAGGCAGATCTTCAAAGAGTCCATGGTCGTCTTCCTCGGCTCCTCAATCTTCGAGTCTTCAGTAAGAGTTTTATCAATTTCTTCAAATGGATTATCAGAGTGGTGATCAGACATCTGATTTGAGTTGCTAGCTCCGTCTTGGGTAGAGAAGGAGTTCTTCATCTTCTTACTCTTCTTTGCCTTCGCCTTATGCTTCTTTGAATTTAGATGCTGATCAAGCATTTCTGGAGATTGGTACGCTCTTTTACAATCTTTGCAGTAATAGTTATGCTCGCTTTGTTCGGAAGATAGACAGCTCAGCAGATCCTTCTTCTTTTGTTCAAACAAAATTTGACTGATAGGAGCGAGTTCTGCTGTTTTTCTCCTAGCATTGTAAACATGGAATTCTGTAGTTAAGTGTAGTTTATAAGAGGTCAGATCCTCGAATTTGAGTCTACAGGCACTGCAATATATTTCTGTTGGTAAATCTATAAACTTTAGAGATGCTTTAAGGGGCTAGCTCACCTTCAAGGCCTCCTGTGCCAGAGAGACTACTAGTATTAAGCTGTTCCATTTATTTTATAGTGTATTTAGTAATATCAATTATTTTTTATCAAGGAGGGGTTTTGGGGTTTTGGGGTTTTGGGGTTTTGGGG